CCCCCCCCCCCCCCACCCAATGATTCTGTTTTGATTGCAGGGCGAGGAAGATTAGTCTGATTTGATCATTTTATGATTTTAGGGCATTCCGCACTTTGCCGCATGTTGATAGAGCCAATGATTCTGTTTTGATTGCGGGGTCAGGAAAACTACCTTCTTCCCCCCGAAGATAACGCATATGCGTTATAAACGAATACAACGCATAGGCTGCGTTCTATTCGAATACAGCGCACTATTCGAATACAACGCATAGGCTGCGTTCTATTCGAATACAACACATAGGCTGCGTTCTATTCAAATAGCCCCAATTTTCGAGTATAACTCTTATGCGTTCTATTCGTTTTTTTTTTAAATTCGGAAACTCGAATACAACACATGTGCGTTATGTTCGGGGGAAGAAGGTAGTTGGATTTCCTAGCTAACATGAAGGATGATGGACTGAACAAGACGGCGTCGCTCCATTGGTGGGACACCTTTTGGAATTGTCTCCACGCGACTTATCTTGACGTAGGGCCATTGGAGGGTTTTAGTTTCTTGCATGGTGGGGGGTATGCAAGAAACAAAAACCCCTTGGACATGTAGAGGTTGTGCAGGATGGCAGGCATTTTGTGAAGAGCAGCCAGCCTTTGCGTTGTCAGGAGGGGAATGGTGGGCTGCCCGTAAGTGCAGGCCTGCAGGGTGCATGTCAGGCGACAGTGCAGCCCCAAAGTGCAGGCCAGATGCGGATGTGGTTTGGACATCTTTTTTCATGACTACCTCCTTGCATTCCCATATTTGTTTTTGCACCCACATAACCGCTGCACGCTGCCACAGGTCTAGAAACCAGACCTCAACCCCTGCTAGTGGTACGTGTCCCCGAATGAAGCAGGACCTGGCCGCTGTGTGTACGTTGAGGTCGCGGCAGTCAAAGGGCGCATTTGGATCCAGGTGGCCTCCATGCTGAAGCAGTGCTATGTCGAAGCGCATCTGCCGCCGAGGGGAAGGCCGTTCAGTCGCCATATCCTTAGGCGCTGAGGAAGAGGACAGGGGCCGCAGCTTGAGGGGAAGAGCGTTCAGTCGCCATATCCTTATTAGGTGCTGAGGAAGAGGGACAGGGGCCATAGCTTATTTGGGCACCTTGTACAGCAAGGGCGGCGATAGAGCAGGGGACACCCTTGGGAGGTGAAGGTAGGCCGTTGGGGAGGTTGGCAGATCAGCAGGGAGAGCGAGCTCCAGCGTGCTCCCTCTTCAAGCGGTCATCAGCAGAAGTGGAACAGAACGGCATGGTGTATCAGTAGCATGGGCTGCACTGCCGAGTGGGACAGGTAGTCACACCCGCTGGTTGGAGATACTACCTTCTTCACCCGAATACAACGTATGGTCATTATCACTGTATTTGGGCTATCTTTCCGTCTAAATACAGCAATAATGACCGTACATTGTGTTCGGGTGAAGAAGGTAGGGGCGAGTCGAGCGCTACTCATCTGTTGTTGTATTGATGGGTCGGAGGTGTGCGAAGAGGGCTTTCATAAAGAAGGAACTTCAGCGTTGTGTGTGCTCTTGTATTGGTGGGATCTGGGCCTTCTCAATTCATAATCTGCCTTCGGTCTGGTCTTCTCATGGACGCTGATGATCAGTGATTACTAATTAGTGAGTTTGTGTGGTCATGAATTGAGTTCTCTTTCAAGGCCAGGTTCCGTGCACATTCGTTGAACTTTGAAAATGGAAACTTGGCAATTAGTAAGTCGCGAATTGCTGTCCGAGCCCACTTCTTGGGCTGGACTATGTGTTCTGTGGAAAGTGCTCTTGTATTTGTGTGATGTTGGCCTTCTTAATTCTGCTTTCGGTCTGGTCTTATCATGGATGCGGACCGGTGACCTCATGTGGTCATGATTTGAGTCCTAAATTCTCCTAGCGGGCAGCAGGTTCGTTGCACAGTCGTTAAATTTGGTGAATGCCAAATCGGCAGTTGCCGAGTCGAATTGCTGTCTGAGGCCCCTTTTTGGGCTGGACTGTGTTCTGTCGAAATTTTGATTCTCATCATTCTCTACAGTCGACCCGTATTTTCATTTTATATTACACTGTATGTATATGGGGAAGCATGCAAAGTACGCTGTTTGTTATATACTTCCTGCCTGCCATTAAAATTAGCAGGTGTTAGGGTCCAAATGGGATGGGAACTACAGATGCTGACCGTACCGTATGGGGGTTGATTACCCCCATCTATTGGGTGGGAGGCAGGTGACTGAACAACAACTTACATCGTTTTTTATTCTGTAAGGACCTGCCAAAGCACGGACTGACTGAGAACACAGCTGATTTCTGAGTTTTGCCGCTGGAATGAATGCCTTGCTGAGATTCCCGCTTTTTGCTGAGTTTTCTAAGTCTGTGTGTGTGTGTGTGCTTGCTGGTCTGCGTCGCTGTCTGAGTTCTGAGTGCGTGTCGGCTTGAGTGTGTGTGTAGCCTGCCAGGGCACTTGTTTGGTTGGGAGGCCCCGCAGGGCCGGTACTTGCCTGTGTCCGTGACTTTGGGGTTGCAGCTGGGAAAAACTCGGGTGGCCAATGGGGGTAGCTTAGAGCTCCCTCGAGTAGTGATAGAGTAGGCCTGTAGGCACTCAAGTGGTAGGTAGGCCGGTACCACCCGAAGTAGCGGCAGATGTGTCGGGAACCAGAGGGCAAGCAGAAGAAGACAAAAAGTTGGCATGTTTACAGGCCCAGTAGCGGTACGCTAGGTCTAGGCGGGTACCAGTCCAAATAGTCCGAGTCTAGGGCCTGTGTGGATGATATCAGAGCCTGCAATGATGTTTCCCCCCAAAAGGGAGGAGGTACCGGTTGCTTGGAGACCGCGCGGGCTGGAAGTCACCGCCCAAGAGGCAAGTTGGCCGCTATATCTCCTGGAGGAGCAAAGAGCTCCTCCTCCTTTTGCTGCATGCAAGTTTGTCGACATGCTGCTGGATTGCTGGTTGGAAGCAGCGCTGTGGGAGGGAGGAGCGCCCAGCTCTCCACCTTGGCTATGGTAGAGGAGCTCGGGTAGGAGGAGGAGGAGGAAGAAGGGGACTAGGAGAGGGGACCGCCAGGGGTACTTACCTGGCTATGGTGGATGCCATCTTCGTCTCCTGGGCGCTGCATCTGGAAGGCCCCTGTTGGGGTAGAGCTGCATCAAAGAGCTTCGAGGCAGAGTCATGCAACAAACTGCAGATCCCCAGCGGGCGGTTAGTTTTGTAATATTTTGGGTGCTACTGGGCTTGATCCCCTGACCTGTTCCTGACTGGGGCTTCCTTCTAAGTAGTTTAGTTTTGTAGTTTTTTGACGTCTTGAGGTCTGCAGGGCTCGACCCCTGTACTTGTCACTTGCTGGGGTCTCTCTTCTGGGCGGCCTTGGACGACTGCGCCGTTTCCTTTCGTCTTTTTCTGCTGCTTTTGTGTAGGCCTGTAGGGCCGGCGAGGCACTCGGGATTCCTCTTTGCTCATTCTTCTTTTCATGAGCTGGGTGTGAGGCCGCGTTGGAGCTGGAGCACAGTTTTTCAGTTGCGCGACGACATCATCTTCACATGCTGCTGGCGGCCGTAGCTGTGGGCCGAGCAGCTTTGTTGATGGCAACACTGGGCTAGGCGCCCAAGTACTGAAGAGCAATTCCTCCTATTTGTGCGCTGTTGGGGTTATGGCAGCTGCCACGAAGCAGCTCTTTGAAGTCTTCTTCGATGTGGCAGGCCCTCATCTTCATCAAATTGGTGTTCTTTTTCTTCATCCTAAGAGCTGCACTCCCCTGCTGAGTGGACATATCATCTGCAACTGGGCGCGAGTGGTGCAGAGTGACGTGTTGTGGATTCAGGAGGGTTCATTGCGTTTGCAGGCTGGTCTGGTTGGGCGCTGAAAGTGGAAGTGCCACCATAGCTCGAGCTTGGGGATAGTGGGAGGAAGAAGAGGAATCCTGGATACTTCAATGGAAATTTGTGAATAATTGGTCCGCGGTCAGTGGTTGGGATTCTTGGGAAAATTTGTGTTGCTGATTGAATTCGGGAGAGACGGTAATTAGAATTGATTTTCAACTCAATTCCTATGTTGGGCCATCGCCCTGCCTGGCACGCCCAGGCCAGTTGGGCAGAGGGGGGGGTCGCCCGGCAAAACCCGACGGGTCAAAAAAGAGGCAAGGATCCGCCCCCCCCAAAAAAAAGACTTCAGGCCAGGACTGCGCTTGGCCTGGGCAGTCAGAATCCGGTCTTAACTTCGGTTTTGGTGGTGGGTCATCCAAGGGGGGTTGGGGGGTATAAACAGTGACCAAAGGGCTTAAAACTTGAAAGGGTACATTTGGACTCATGTTTTGTCATTTATTTTTATCTTGAAATTAACAATGAATTTCGAGGTGGCCGTCAGCCAAAAGTCGTTTGTATTGCAATTTTACACAACATACTTTTGTTTCAGATTTTTTTGTATGTTTTTTTCTATTTTTAGAAATTTTATGCGCTGGGATCGCCCGGGACCCCACCAGGGCCCTGTCCGGTCTGGGCCGCCCGGAAGGGTACCCGGGCGACCTTCCCCCGGCCGGGCCGCCCGGGGACTAACACAGGTCGATTCTATTTTGGGTATTTGTGTGCCTCCGCTGTGTATTTTCCTCATCTGGTTTTGGTGTGGATCTCTATCTCCAAGTCCACTTGCCATAGCGCACATGTATGGGAATGTGTGGATGGCATGTCGGATTTCACTTCAATCGGGCACATAACAGTCAGGCATGGCGGCCTGAGAGGAAGAGGCCATATCTGCTTTGCGTTGTCTTTTGCACGTCAGTGCAAGGCCCTTCGTAGTCCGCCATAGCCTCGGCCTAGGTGAAGAGGAGAAAGGAGGGTGGCCATGGCTATGGTGGACCTCTTGTTGTGCTGGCAGTAGAAGCAGGATTCGGATATTGTTTCTGGTTCAGCCATTCGTCATCATTATTATTATTATTTATTGTTTGAATAAGAGAGGAGGAGACAAGGAGGAGGAGTTGGTTGGCGAGAGAAGGGGAAATTATCATTGGTCTTTTGCTGGTGTACATCTTCTTCTGTTCTTTCTTTCTTCTTCTTCTTCTTCTTCTTCTTCTTCTTCTTCTTCTTCTTTCCCTCTCTCTCCTCTCAAGTTCATTCATTTCTTTTGCAATTGGACGGCATTGTGCACTTCGAAATTGGCCAGGATCGTAATAATTCTCTGGGTGTTTTTTGGTCATCATTTTGCAGGTGTCTCATTGGGCAGCTTTGAAGCCCTCCAATGTCCATTTACATGATTGCATCACACTGATGCCCTGTGAGTTGCCTTCTCTTCTTCTTTCCCTCCCTGGCATGTTTAGTTTCCGTCAGGAAAGTATACGTATAGTGACAGAGAGCTGTCTCGCAAACTGCACTGGAAAATGCACTTATATGTTATACAATTTTACACTTAATAATAGTTAATGTACTATTATCCTATCCCTTAAGCAGCATTGGCAGCGGGGGGAAAGGGCGAAAAGGACAAGAAACAGGGGGCTGCGACAGACTATTTCGTCCACTCATCAAGAGGCTGAACCCTCTACAGTATAAGAGACCCGTAACCGATGACATTGTAATGGATAATCCAACATAACCCCAGTTGTGGTTGATCACCAAACACTGCCCCACAACTCGTACCCCGAAGTGGGAACCAATCACTGTCCTCAATGGGCTCTACAGACTGTAAGTTCACACCCCATCGTAAGCCATCCAACTTTCCACGAAACTAAAGAAAGTCTGCCACAACCAGAAAATACACTCCAGACGCACCGCTGGCACTAGTATTTGACGGCTGTGAGTGAAACTTAGTGATCATGCATTTTCTTCATACTATGAATCTTTTCGGGTTTCCAATTCTCTCTCACCCCTTACCTCTCTGTCACCTCACCTCCACTCTAGTCTCCTCCTCTGTCTGTCTGTCTGTCTCTCTCTTTCTCCCCCCCCCCCCCCCCCTCCCCGCCTTTGCCTCCCTCTCCCTCTCCCTCTCCCTCTCTATCACCCCTTACCTTTGCCACCCCGCCTCCCTCTCTCCCTCTCTCCCTCTCTGCCTCTCTGCCTCTCTCTCCCTCTCTCACTCTCCCCCCCCCTTTCTCCCTCTCGCTCCCTCTCTCACCCTTTCTCTCCCTCTCTGTCCCAATGGGCCTGAACTTATTGTATAGACAGTTACTTGGCAAACGTCGATCGTTTAGCCATCCGGAGAAGAAAGGTAAATGGAGTTTAGCCACAGTCTTGTGTGGAAAGTGAAAGGGTATGTCTTTGAATTTGACCGTTAGAGTCAAAGAGTTTGTCTGAGTTTGTCTTTGTCTATTGTGTGTCGTCGAAGCATGAGATCCACATCACATCATTAATGCAGTCTGGCTGATGAGGTGAAAATAGTTGGTGGATAAGGTATCGACATCTTATCTATACGCCAAGAATGCAGTGACACGTGGCGTTGTCAGCTGCCCCCCCCCCCCCCCCCTCCTCGTGATAATCCTGGTCCACGTCAGGATCACCAGCACTGACCCAACGTCCTCACCAGGAAGGACGACAGCCGTCTTGGGCAATTGTTGTACTGAGAATGCTCAGCTAGGTCTTCCATGTCCTCATCCATCTCATCCTTACGATGTGTCTCTCTGTTGTTGAAGGTAGACTGATTCTTGACCTTCTCTTATCCTTCGCTATGCTTTCATCGTCATTTCACGCTCCTTACTTTCCCTTACTTTTCTCTTACTTTCCCGTACTTTCCCTTACTTTCCGTTACTTTTCCCTTACTTTCGCTTTGTCTTCCTTTGCTTTTGTCTTCTTTCCATCTTTTCTCTGTTTGTCCCCTCTCCCTTCACTCTGCCTCTTTTTCACAGTATAAAAGTGGGCC